CGATTACCACGATTACTCCGAGTATTTAAGCAAAGACCGTAAAAATCCTTGTTCACCGCGATACGAGGGGATTAAATATTGTCGCAACGTGCCTCAGCATGAGTTGAGCGATAACGATCGTCCGCGCGATAAAACATACTTATTTTCAATGAAAGAAAAATAAAATAAAAATAATTATTGCATTATACTCGCGGTAAATATATTGCAACAATTATCGTGTTCAGCCTTTCAGTATTATTATTACGAAACGGATGCAATCCAAACAAAATTTCTTTTTTTTTTATGTCGCAAGCACGTAGATAATATTAATATATTAAAGTTATTGTTTCCGTTTGCTTCTTAAAATTCGTACGGAAATAAATAGGGTGCACGCTGGAATAGAGGGTTGTGTTACTTTCGAGGGACGCGAAAAATGGGCTCGCGCACACGCACACAGTGTTGCGAGTGTATGGATACGAAAATACGAATAGGCGGAAATATTACGTGGCACGGAATAGGGTAATATCCCAAAAAGAGGAAGACGAAGACGACGAGAGGAAAGCGGGTTAGTGAATGAGAGATAACGGTAGCAAGTTTACTTTGTATGCCATGCAGTGAGAAAGTTCCATCCAGCTGTTAGTCACGTCTTTCTCTCGTTCCTTAGTTTTCCTCTCGATGAAAACTCACTCGCGAGTTTAAGCTTCCGTTTACCGTATGCACGCACAAGCGAATGAAAAGCAAATAACCAAATGCGGTCTTTACCTCCGTGTAAGGACAACGTAATCGCGGTGTAATCGTAAAACAAGAAATAAATACAAATCTTGTCATTTAAAAAATTATCTGAGTACGAAAATAATTTTTGCAAGTAATTTTTAAACGTCTTCGTTGTAAAGGGAAGACGTTGCGATAAGAACGCGATTTACGCGTGAAAAATGGCTGCCAGCAAATACACCAACAGAAGGGACAAAGCTTGACTGAGAGCACGAATATCCGAGAGTTTCCTGAACTGATTTCTATTTTGTCACTCGGCCAATCGCTGGGCACGGTATCGTTAGAAATAAATAACACGGAATACATCATCCCTGGATTGCCGTCATACTAGCCGCTTGTTCTCGTCACAAAATAGAACCCTCGGGAATTACGCCGCGGAGATCGGCGGCCTGGGATGGGTAGACGCGGTAATACTGGTTATCATCGCGCTGATTGCACCTACACCCCCTCTCCCCTGTGCCACATTCATCGAGCTATCTTCCATTGGTACCTGCACCTGACCCAGTACATTTCCATCCGAGCTATTCATTACGACTGCGATCTACAACGATCGTTCCTTTCACGATACATCGATGTACGAAAATTGGCGAATGGCACGGTAGGAGTTATGCATTCATACTTGCAGGCACGTCATGAATCCTTCTACCCCGTCGCGGAAGAGCTCTAAATCCGTATCGTGCCGAGATTACGGCGCTCCGGCAGTGAATGTACAAGTGATACACGCTCGATGACCCGGCAATTTTCAACGGAGAGGAAGTTTTACAACGGAGATCCGGCGTTGTAATTTAACCGAATGGGCCGTTTTACAAATTAACTCTTCTGAACTTCTGGCTGGTCATTACACTTTCCGTTGTAAGCGGCGCAAATTATTTTAATTGCACGCGCGCGAGGTTTATTTTCTCCTTTCTGGAGGTAGATAAAAGCTACGGCCTCCGGGAGTCGTGAAGGTAACTCGACCGCGAGACTCGGCGAGATCGTCGAGACCGAAAGTTACTCGAGGGCCGGCCGTAAAACAATGATGACTAGTTCTCGCCGCGTAATATTCATTCGGGGCGTGAGATCAGTCGCGTATCGCCTCCCACGAAACGCCTCGGAAAGCCAAGCGAAATGTCGGTCGGCCACGGCCGGTCGTATACGGCCTCCGTTATTTGCACAACCGTAAACAACCGTCGCCGCTGCCGCACATCTACAGAGGCACGCGCGTGTATTCGCGGCAAAGCGCAGCCACACCTTCCTACGAAACACGCTCTCCTCCGAGCCTCTTTCTACGGCACCGTGCACACGTACGTGTTTACGTTGCGAACGCGCTACGCCAGGCGGAACTAACGGTAACGAACGGTTGCGAATGTAAGAGACCGGTTCCCGTAGCAAACGACATTTCGACCGAGCGTTGCACGGCAGTGCGTGCGGTGAGAGGAAGGCAAACTGCTCGCGAGATTCCGAAGGAGAGAGTCGGAGTGGAGCTCGTAGTGCTAAGAGCAAATAGGTAGATAGACGAGTTGATTCATGGAGCACCGCGTAATAAAGCTAGCGCAAAAGTATCGGAGGAAAACGGAATTAATTGAAACTCACGCACTCTCCCACGCTGACGTAACGAACCGCGATGCGAATGATAATTAAGATGGAAATCGGATTCCAAGAATTGTATCGAACGTGTAATTCTATGATGTGTAAAGTCGATACGACACGTGGAGTGTACGAGGAACTGAATGACGCGGAATACGAATGTGGATTAGGAGGAGAGCGCGGGGGAAACGCAAGGGATCCGCGTGAGAGCGAAAAGTTTCCCGATATTTCGCGAGGAACGCTCACGCGCTAGAGCGGTAGATAATCTCGACGATCATCTCAGCGCGACAGCTCGAAAGTTCCGGCCGTTTCGGGAGAACGTAGTGCGTACTCTGCTGGTTTATAGCGGCCCTGCGGTCGTCGGGTTCCGAGTGGTCAGCGGACGGTACCCGCTGGTGCAGCGGCGTTATCCATTTGCATCGTAACTAGTCGCGGCAGCGGGAACGGTAACGACGGTCGCTGTCGACGGCGTTGCGTTATTGTTGTTGCTGCTACTGCTGTTGCTGCTGCGACCGCCCAGACGCTGCCGCTGCCGCCGCCGCCGCCGCCGCCGCTGCGCCGCGTCGTCCGAGTTCAAAACCGGCGACTGCATCTGCATCGTACCGAAGGGGGTGACGGAGAGGGGGCGAGCTAGTAAATTACACGTTGACTAGGGCTGACAACCGCAATGCGTGGCGCACACGGCCGTGTGCGCGCACGGATCTCCTGCACGAGACGCCGGTGTGTTTATGCGGCCGGTGAGTCCGAATACTGTCAGGACGGCCTAGCGCTCTCTCACTCCTGTGAATTATAGACGAGCCGACCTTAATAAAGACGCGGTGGATGCCCGAAATTCTCGCCCGGCGTTCCATCGGCCGGAGTCGGGGAACCGCCGAATTGCGAAGCCGGCGCTGCCGCTGCGTGACGTACCGCATCGGCAACGCACTCGTTCATGTCACGCTCCGTGCATAACTCGTTCCGGACCGCAGTACTCAACGAATTCTACTTTCCTTTTTCCTTGTGGGTAATAGAATTATTTAAACTGCCAAGATCTCTCTCTCTCTCTCTCTCTCTCTCTCTCTTGTCGAAGATAAATTGGAACATGTAATTTTCGGTATACTTAACAATCGCGATAAATCGTGCCATCAACGGTAATTTAATGCGTAAAGATCGTGGTTTCGTGAAGCCAAAATATCGCGGATTATGCTAATTTATTATCATTTTTCTTTGAGAACCGACGAGATATTGCGTAAGCGCGTGTCTCGCGGTTATCAGGAGTAATAAAAAGAAGAGTAACAGCCAGGGTACACGCGTCTTCTTTTTTTCTGTTTCTCTCTCTCTCAAAAAGGATAGGCACGTTCCGTGATTGTGTATCGTCGGTGGAGCACCGCTGGTCTGGGCCGCTCAGGCCCGTATGCGCGCGAGTATCAGTGCCAAACACCGGTAGTTATGTATATCAGGAGCAGTAAAACTGATGCAAATTTATTTCGAAATTCCGAGCCGTTCTCGTAAAGTTGTTTTAAAACTATCCTCGTAAAACGATTTGAGACATTCCCCCCATCCCCTTCCTCTCACTCCCCACTCCCTCCGCGCCGGACGCGGTGAGATTTTACCGCGACGCGGGTACGACTCGTTCCTTAATTCCACATCCTGCCCTTAAGGTAACGACCGCGATCGTGAGAGCGTGCTCTCGACCGCGCCACGGAAAATGTGCTTTATCGTACGAACGCTTCGCCCGTCGTTCGAGACATTATTTTAGCATAACCATAACCGATTAGTATTCATACGTGGTATAAAGATAAACACTGAGCGATATGTTCGAGACGTGGAAGACACGTTACCTTCGCGCGAACGGAGCTTAAGAACAAGCAATATCTCACGCTCGTCTTATCGACTATTAACAATTTTCAAGACATACCCATTACGTACGTGCTGACGTAATCGCTACGAGAAAAAAATCGATTCGACCTGGCAATAATAATCGCGCGGGGTTGGCCGAGCTATTTCGGAAAGAAGAGTATGCTCTTGCTTCACGAGGTGAGATAGGCCGAACAAGCATGCCAGAGGGGAAACGAAAATTTAAGAGCAGCCGTATATTATCGCGACGAAGGGGTTGTCTGAGGTTAACTGCCAGAGCTTCGTAAGAGGGAGGATCGGGTGGTGTCGCGAGGGTGTGGGAAGGGTGCGCCATGAATATGCCGCCATTAGTCACACGCCGAATCGCGCCGTAGAAAGAGAAGTAGGTGACACGAATTTCCCGGAATTGCGCGCGCCCTATTGGTATCCCGAGGGGTAATAACGCGAACAATTCCCCATGAATGCGCATTTATTCCGAATCCGGTACCGGCGTGGAATCGGCGGCGCATCTAAAAGCCCGGTAAAACTTGGTCGACAAGAAATTCGTCGCGTCGTTCCCTCTCTCTTCCCCCTATGTCACGAACCCTCCTCCGTTAGTGACGGCGTCAAGCCACCCTGTCGAAACATTCGGGACTCGCGGCGGCGCTCGTGTCACCAGCAGACCTCATCGTTACATCTCAAAAGGCAGCAATGAAACGGTTAACTAAATTGCTACACGCTCCGGCTGTCATTCGCAGGACTCGCTGCCACTCCATCCTTCTATTCGGCCGTGCGCAGATACGCAAACGATCCGTCGCTTTTAGTTACAAATCTCTGGACGCGATTTGGAAGAAAATGCGCAAGTGGAATTTCGTAGAAATGCGCCATTACGCGCGAATTTATTTAGAAAAGTCTTGACTAACAATTTCACTGAACATCTCGTTGTCACAATTTGAATGGCAAAATAGAAATGAAATATACAGGAACGCTTTAAAAGCGTTTCGAGTGAGGTAATGAAAGGCACAAAGGCACTTGCCTTGGCAAGTTATATTTGATGCCAGTAGATAGTATCCGGTGCTTCCGTCCTCACGCCGGACGGCTCGCAATTTGTACCTCGGATGATGTCGTCGACATTTCCTTTAATTATTCGGAAGTTTGTCTCTGTCGGCTTGAGGCTCATATTTATTGTTTTCTGAAGTCTGTTGGTATTGAACCACAATTCTTCCTTGCCGGCCCTATTCGTGATCACCTTAATGCCGCTCACGTACTGCAGAGTCTCCTCGTCTTGTGCTATTATCACGACATTCTCCGGAGTAAATGGTTTCCCGATGTCCCAACAGGCAATGGCAGTTAATTGGACCAATTGGAAAAATATTACGCCTCTTCGAGAGGTTGCTTGCACGCCCGCTTGGCTCGCGCGTTTGTAATTTGATTGAAATATCACCGGGTCTCTGTACTCGCTTTGCGCCAACCAATACGTGTCCGCGTAATTCTGATGATAACTTGCGAGCGAGTTGAAATATAGATATCTGAAAGTGGTAAACATTGTGACGAAATAGCAAACTGATTCTCTTTAATTAGTATACTTGCGCTAAAAATTTCGAACGTATTTAAATTATAGAAATTTAAATTTTTATTAACGATATAAAAAAAATAGGACAGCTATAAATAGAAAAAAAACAACCAAAATGATTTCTACATCTTACGCTTAGTAAAAATGAGATTTTTCGAATTTTAAAAAATTTAAATCTAAAATTAATTACTTTTAAATTTTCGAGAAGCGACATAAGATAAATTTAGTTTCCGATTAAATTTCAATGCGATATTTCTCGGATTACAAAATCATTGATTCGGAATGATCGTAATTAGCGGTAATTACCTGTGATTAAAGTATCCTAATGGTGACAGTGACATACCGAGTGTACCGTCGGTCAGATCAAACCATTCGCCGGCGATCGTAATATTCATAGCATCCTCATCCGGGCCAAAAGCGTTGCCACGGGTGTTGTTTACTCGCCAGGAATGGTCACGATATAAGTCATAAATCATCAGTCCATTTTGATCCACGTCCGCCACGTAGAGATAAGTATCGAGACACGTTTTTCCGACGTCGACGATTGGCGTAACTAATGCTGCCTTCCCGTATAGCACTTGATCATCCGGTACCACGTATTTATGGATCAGCCGATCCGTGGCAAGATCAAAGATCAATATTTTCGTAGGACAAACCGATTTCATCATCACTCTGCCAGTGTCGACCACCCATAAACGATTGCACTCGTCGATCTAAAGATTACGTATCAATTTATCAATCCTACACGCTACAAAGTTTAAGCATCAAATTGACAATGAAAAACTTATGAACGAGCTGCCCGTTTGTCGCGTATTCAACGTTCTTTTTTTCTGCTAGAATTTTAATTCTGTCTAGTATCAACTGTGAGATTACCGCCACTCTGTAGACTGATACGATGCCCTCGCAACTGAACAACGTGTGCCAGGACCAATTGGGATATGGTACGAGCAAACGACCGCCAGGTCCCTGCACCTTAGTCACCAAAGACAAACTAATTGGTACACCGTCCAACCACTGCGGGCTCGTCACGAACACGCGACCCTGTCTGTCGATATCCACGTCTTGCGTGAAGGCATTGCCCAACGTATAGTTTTTCCCTGTCAGATGTATATTTGGCCAGACCCAATCGAGAAATTTCCACTGGTAGGCCACTTCGAGGTGCGATGGCTGGGACGGGCGTACGAGGCCGGAGAATAGAACGAGCACCCAAATCAATTCCATGATGCGTACGGTTGCAAGCCCATCGACCTAAGCCGCGACACTGATCGACTGACCGTTAATTTGTTTCGACGCGTTTTTAGCCGTCGGAGTGCCTTTCGAGCCTCAGGGTCTCGATCGTGTCCGCGATCGAGGGACCACTGCATCACGAAGCGGAACATGGTTGTTCCCCGTTAGCGGTATAGATTGTTTCTTTCGACAGCGACCGACAGACCCCCACCCCTGTCTACGTCACTATCCCCCCATACCGCGAACGATTTCGCTATTTATCGTGGTGGAGAATGGGGTTCACCTTGAACTGGATACACTCCAGGTATATTATGTAATATGACTCGTTAAATAATAATCAGGAAGTGAAAAGAACCTCGAGGTTTGTTTCTTCCATAACCATGTGTGTAACATCTCTCAACGTGACCTTCTCTTACACATGAGAAGTTGTGAAGAATTTTACATAATCAATGAGAATGATCTATTTTATACGATCTGTTTTACAAAAAAATATTGAATCTATCTACAAAAAATACAAAAAAATAGACTTTTAAATTCCTGATTTTCGCATCATCGCATATCGCGTGTGACTAATTACTTGTAATTAGTTCAATGGAAAAATGATGCAAGATTATACTCTTGTGAAGTAATACGCGATTAAAAAATACGCGATTATATTGCAATAACATGTGATCATCATTTGAAATTCATTTAAAAAGATGTGGAAATTTATGTTGCGGCAATGAAATCCATTAGGCATCAGCATTTCCAATACGCGATGCTAACAGCCTGAGGTTAGACCGCACAATATTTTACGAGTGCATGGAATTTAGTGTTATATGTATCTGTACATGTATCTATTTAAACCTGTTTTGTATACTGATTGTTACGCAAATCGGTGATATCAAGTTCTGCACATCAATATGAAATACGAAATGTGGTTGAACGCACACATTAGCCACCGCGTGATCGGAAACTAGAGCAAGTGTTCGCAAACAGTGCACGTCTACCTGATATAGAACCAGGAACCTTTGTTGCATTTCCTCGAACGTGTTGCGAAAGCTATTACAATCGTATCTGTGTAACAAGATTTTCTGTAAATTTCATATCGTAAGAGTTTCTATACGCTCTTCGAAAGACAACACGTAATAACTTTTCATAACATCATAAATATTCATTTCGCATTTATAATTAACATGTCGGCACGCTTTATTAAATTAAATCGTGAATGTTATTTTTTATCGTGAGCTAATCGTTCACATAACTCAATAAATCGTTACCTACTTGAATATGTATGCTTAATACGCAAAGTATATTAGTCACCAGTTATTATCGATCGATCATGTTATCCTACGCTCGAGAAGTGATTCTCCTTGCATGTTCATGGAGATCATAGGAAATCACAACTGCGATTCCGCATACCAGCCGTACGCAGCGCTCAACGCCGCTAAGTTTACGACGGTTAATGCCAATTAAAACGCAATAAACTAGTTGTAGGGACGTAATAAATGGTGGCCAGTGTCACGGCATGAGGTGATACAACGTGACGACATTATATCACGAGACGATCACGCGCGTGTTTAGAATGCAATAATGAGGAGTTTCGCGAGTTGGGCAAAACTATTTTCCAACAGTTGTTACGACGCGATCACGCAATGCGCGGTTATAAGCGGTGCGCTTTTCATCGCGCTCACAAGTTTCCTTTTTTTTCTTTTCTCTCCCCTCCCCTCCCCCGGCTTTCGGGTTTGAATTGCATTACGCGTTGCGCCGTATCCGGGAAGAGAAACTACACTCGCGCGCCCAGCAGAAGTGAAAACCATAAATCACCTGGCTAGTCACGATTAAGCCAAACGGGAAGACAAATGGGTGGCTAATTTCAATTTTAATGCGAAGCCCAGAAGGTATCTGTTCCGTCGTGAGTTATAGCGCCACTCTTCGGGCGCGAACCGCTTTAGGGCTTATTAATAAGGAATAGTTTATCGTTTTGATTAATCACGGCCGCGCGCGCTCCCGACGATGATACCGTCGAATTGCGGTGCCGTGGCCGCGGTACATTTGCCGGATTTCCGATTGGACGCACCAGTTGAAGCGCGAATACCAGTAAAACTTGCGCACATGAAATCGCGGACATGAAATTGCTTCGAGCATGAAAGCGAAAGAGAGGGAGGAAGGGACGAGAAAGCGCAAGAGAGCAGATAACGCGGCCGCTCTGACTCTTTCTTTCTCTCTCACTCCGACTGCAGAAAGGTAAATCTATTCGAATTAGATAGCATAATGGCAATCTCTTGGAGTGAGACAAGCGAGCTCATAAACTAGTATTTTCTTTTTTTCAGCGTTGGTAATCATAACGTTCTACTTCGTTCCGCGCGAGGAATGGGAACGCGGGCGTCATTAAGGCGAAATGCATTAAACGAAATCTAAGGAAAAATGTGTCGTGTGTACGTGAGAACTCGTTAATGAATTTCAAGCGGAATGAATATTTAGAACGGTGGGAGGAAGGGACGGGCGCGGGAAGACAATTTGTAAATGAAGATAAAAATCAGGGAGCGAGAGGCGTGCGAGGATCTTCAGCTTTATTCGTCAAGCCTGAATCGACGAGGAAGGTGCAACAGCATATGACAATTATGATATCGCGTTCACAATTATGATTTCGTTATGCCTGACGGCTTGGACTTCCAAATTGCCGTTCTGCCAGAAGCTCGCGTCGCGCGATTTTATATCGACGAGGGAGCAGAGAAAGTCCCACAAGATGTGTCTCTCTTTCTATGGTTGAAACAGTTCTTCTTCTTCTTAAACTGAGTTTGGTAAACCCTCGTACAAGTCGAAGTTCTGACCGTGCGGATGGCGTCGAAGGGACGTAAGGGCGGAGGCGTCGTAAAAGTTGGACGAAGTCAATTTTGCAGTTGAAGTTGATAATGCGATTTGTGCCGGAATAAATAGTTTGAGAGGAGAGCACACAGTGTGCGCAAAGGGTCCCTCTATCTTGGCCCCCTCCCCCTCTTCCCCCCTTTCTCTTTCTACATTCTCCTGCTTCTACGCATGTCGTGGTTGTCTCTCCAGTGGCTAGCTCAATCCACTCGAGTTTGGTGTCACGAGCACGTCCTATTGGACCCATCAGACGTGACGTTCTTACTAAAGGGAGTTCTACTTAAATCAAAACAGCGAACGACGACTTAACGAAATGAAAAGCACCGGGTGCCCGGAGTTCGCGGAAACGGCCGATTGAATGGCTCCCGCGATGGCGTTCGCCGGGAAGGATGTAACAAGGTCCGGAAATAAAAAAAGTACACACGTATAAACAGCCCCGGCTCATTACTCTCCGACTTGGAAACGAGATTAACGTCGATTACAGTTTCCGGGGCAACGCGCAAATATTCCGCTTCTACGAGAAAAGTGCTTTCGCGCCGGGGATTAAATTACGACGTTTTGTTTGACCGTCTTGAATGGCGATTTCGCGCCGTTTTTCGCGGGGCCCGCAACCGCGTTTCCTTCGGGGAACCTTGAGCCGCGTGAAATTAATGACACTCTTCTCGACTCGTTACATTACACGCAAGCGGCAAATTGCCGCGAATCCGGGGAACGTAATCCGCGAAAACGCAATAATAAGCCGGCTGCCCCCGGTGAAAAACGGGCGCCTTTCTCCGTGCCCCTCTCTCCCAACCCTCCCTTCCTCTCGCATATCCCCCGTATACGCTGACCGTATCCTCGCGTCGCACCCCCGAGCGGCGCGCCGCTGTTCTGACCGTAATCCGAGAGATGAAAACTTACGCTAATTAAATCGTTAATAGCGGCGGACGCATGCACGTAACGGCCGCGGCGGTTACTTAATCCCGAGAAAATGAAACGTTCGCGGTGTCCATGCGTGTATCTACCGTCCGCTTTTCCCGCACACGTGCGCGCTGGCTGAGATACGTACTGTCGCCGGTGCACACGCATCGCTTTCGCAAACGGCGCATTTCTCTCCCTTTTTCCCTACTTTCAGTAAACACGTATATTCTCTCTCTCTCTCT